TCAGGAGGCTGGCACGTCAGAAGTACGGTGCCAGTGCCAGTCTCCAGCCGTGCCCTCCAGCTCACTGCTTGTACTTTCTCACGTAGTCCCCGCAGCCTGGGGAGTAGTCAGGGACAGCAGTGTTTTAGTTTTACAGAGGAGGAAATTGAGGTTGGGTTGGGTTTGTGACCTTTCCTAGGTTGAATGGCTGGTAAATCACTGATCTGGGGATGAACCCAAGCCCTCCGTATCAGGGACCCCAGCTCTTGCAGAGGGGAGGGACTCGCCACTGGGCACACCTGATTCCTGTGTGACTCATCTCCAGTATTGAGTTGGGAGGGGTGGAGGCAGCACAGAGACCCTAGGGAAGAGGCCACCATAGAGCTGTCATGGATACAGAGGGCATGGACAGGAGGTGACCAGGAGGACTCCAGAACTTTCCAAGGGACCTCACTGAAACTTGGCTTGCTTTCAGCCTCTCTCTCACTGGAGGCTCAATGTAGCATTGACAGCTGGCGGCTTTACTGTCAGGCCTGGAAATGTACTGGAACTTGATTTTAGGGCGGGCTATGGTGAGGTGGTTCAGTCACTTGTCTTAACGCAGTCAAAGCCTCCTTAGAGACATCACTGCCCTTGGCAGATCTTGGCAGGGTGTGGGTGGTGGGATACCTGAAAATATTTGTGTCTGCTGCTCAGCCAGCACTATGAAGTGGGTGGAGCAGATTGCTAGAACAGTCTGTGCTGGAGCCTTGAGGACTGTGAGTCAAGAAGAGGGATTCTTAGAAGACAGAAAATAAATTACTATTTAATGAATGGTAGAAAGGGGCCCTGGATTGTTGAGGCAGACATAAATCTAAGTCAGATCAGATCTTTCTGCAGACCACATGTTGTGAGCCTCTTATTTTAGTGATGACCTGGGCAGGTGGAACAGCCCTAGTCTGTCAGCCACTCTCAGAGCCAGGGTCCTCCTAACGGGTCAGTGTGATGGCTTATGCATTCTATCTCTGTATGTGACATAAAATTTCAGGATAATATGAAAAGGTGGGAACCAACTGGAAAGTGATCAAAGACTTCTGTGTTTTTAGACTTCCCTTTTATTTCTGAAAAGCAGCTAAACTCGGTTCTACCTGTACTGAGTGACCAGACTCAGGCTGCACAGGTGCATAAGCATGAAAGCCAAGGCAAGGCCTGCAGGCTGGGCACCAGGCTGGGCTGGGGGCCCTGCTCCCGCTCTGCCGAAGGGCTCTGGGCTGCCTTCTTTTCTCATGAGATGGTTTTGATTTGTTCGAGATCCACCTTTTGGTGATGAGTTTGGGAAGGCTCTGGTTACATTTTAGATGAAAACTGCACCTGTTTCCATAGGTGTGATGCTCAGAGCCAGTGCAGTGTCTGTGAGTTCCTTTAGGGCTGAGTGGATTCTGGGACGGGGGGTGAGGGGAGACGATTTATAGACTGAACACCTGTTTATTGGAGGCTCCTGCCTCCTGTTTGTACTTCAAGGACTCAAGTATTCCATTTCAATTTAAAAGGTAAACAGTTGTTGGTTTTTGTTTGTTTTTCGATTAAGAGATTGGGGGCTGAGGGAACAGTCTTATAATGATAACACTGGAAAAAATTGTACAGGATAGCATCTTACTATGAAATAGTGAAAACATTTTAACAAAAAATAAAACATGCAAGTGGACTGGACAGTGGTCTTGTGCTGCACAACACCTCGCCTTGTGTTCTTCCTAACAACAGAAGGAAGAAAGGGCACAGCTTGCTCAGGACTCCTGGGAAGGATACAGTGGCTGAGCGGAGGGCTGTGGGGGTGGTGCGGCCAAGGTGTCTGTGCCATGGTCAGGCATGGTGGCTGTCTTGGGGGCAGCAGACACCCCCACTGAGGATTTGATTTTCAGGGGCAAGTGACCTGGTTGCTGTGTGTTTAAGTGGGAAGGCTGTGACTGAATGGAAAGACTTGGAGAGGATGGTCTGGGGAGTCCTGGGGAGAGTTGGGGGCTGTTTGACCCCTGCTGAAGGCAGAGGTGGTACAGCCACACATTTGGTTCACTGGATGAAGGGGAGGTGAGAAGGAGAGCATTGAAAAGGACAGGCCCAAGGGGTGTGGTTTGGGTGACTCGGTATAGACTGATGTTGGTGACTGTGGCCGGGAGCCCAGAGGGTGGGCACATGTGGAGCACGACAAGGAATTCGGCCATGGATTTGTTCAGAGATGCTGCCCAGGAGGAGCATGTAGTGTGAAAAAAGAAGGGAAGCTGAATCACAGCCACGTTAGAGGGTTGATGGAGGAGGATGGACCCGGGAAGAGGTAAGAGACAACAGTCAGAGCAGTCTGAGGGAAGAGGAGAGGGGCAGATAGAGGGGAGAGGAGAGGAGGGGAGAGGGACGTGGTGATGATGATGGTAATGGGATGTAACGATGGTGTTGGTCCTGGAGGTGCTGATAATGATGGTGGTGGTGGTGGTGATCGCAGTGGTTTGGCCTCGGTAGTGACGGTGAGGATGCCAAGGGCTGTAGCACGGTAAGTGTTTTGTGAGGGGTGGTGGCGTACAGCTCCTGAACTGCCAAGGGCTTGGAGTTTTCTTAGATGGGGCACCACCTGAGATAGGTGTCCTTTGAACAGACCTGACCTTCCCCCTGCCCAGCAGCTTCCTGGAAGCCTTTGCTTCCTAGTTGGGAAGGAGAGGGAGAGGGTGAAATCTTAGCAAGAACCTGGAACAAAGGCAGAAGCAGCCCAAAATCCAACAGTATGCTTATTCCTCCTAGACTGTTCTGAGAAAATCAGGCATTTCTGTTTCTTGGTTCTGAACTTGAGGTATTGCTCATTGCCGTAGAAGGATGGAAATAACATTATTCATAATCACATTCCAAGTCAAGTAATGCACAGTAATCTTTACTAGAAACCCCAGAGGAGCACAGGCAGTGCCGCTCCTGTAGCACAGGTTTCTTCCTTATGAGATTCTGTCGTGAGACCACCCAGCAGAGCCCCTGCTCCTCCCTGGGCACTGCTGTTATTCTCTTGCAGGCACAACAGCAGCACCATGTGTGGCTGCACCAGATGGAGAAGGACCTCCACTGCCCACTGAGCGTCTTGAAGCAGAGTCACCCCCCGCCCCACCCCGCCGCCCCCACACTGCATGCCTCTGGAATCTGCAGGAGGAGGGTCCGCCTCCGCAGGGAAGGCAGAGTCTGCTTAGGCTTTGTTAGCATTTACAGTTAGCTGGAGACAGTCCTGGAAGGAAGTGAAGTCTGGAGCCCCATCCCCTTCACTAAGCCCAGGGCCAGTTTTCCTTTCCTCCTTCCTCCTGTTGTTCTGTCTTCTATCCTCTTCCTCTCTCACATCCCCCAAAATTTCCACTGTTGTATTTTGTTCTGTCTCGAGATTTGGACTTACAGTAGCAGCCAGCACAACAGGCAGTATTTCAGAGACTCGCATTGTCATTTAACACACCCAGCTACAGTTGTCACAAATCTCCCAAATGGTGAGATGCTTCCTGTGCCTCGGCACTCCCTCCAGCCGCGGAGCCATTATCCCAGGCATTCTCATTTTGAAACAAAACCTTAAGATGGTGTGGTGACATTTAATTTAGTGCTTCTCATTTCAAAGCCCTTAAAAATATTAATTAATTCCCATAAAGCCCCAGGAGGCATATTATTAATATCTGTAGTGCCTTTCATGCTGGTCCATTAATGTGTCCTTTCTGGGTGATAGGTAAGAAAATGAGACTGAATCATTTTTTGCATCCCACAGGAGAAGACCTTGATGAAGCCAAAGTCAGAAATAACGAATCCCCAGCTTTACTGATGTCTCCGAGTAATGTCAACCCTGTGACCTTGTGTGTGGTAGGGTAGAACAACACTCTTGTTTAGGACTAACCTTGGGGGACACTGAATGGTCTTTCAGTGGAGCCAGGACTTCACATATCCTAGCTGGATAGCTGTGCGGAGGGGGCAGACTCAGGTTCTCTTGGTGTCAGCACAGTTTCTAATGAAATAAAATCAGTGTTCGTAACATTGTGACTGCATGAGGAAACATGTTTGGACCGAATTCTGGACTCTGTAGTAGCTCCCTGGTGGGCTGGTCTCTCTGGGCCCCGATCCTCACTTGATTCCTTATAGAGGCCCAGAGGAGGTTGAAATGTCGGTGAGTAGGACCCCTCATACCTCTCCTTTCAGTGTTTTCCTGAGTGTTCTGGCATGTTTATTTTCCATGCAAACTTCAGTAGCAGCTCCATGAAATAGTTTGTTGTTATGTTTATCGGGAACATGTGGACTCTTAACCTGGAGAGAATTGATGTCTTAAGAATGTGGGTGTATCTTCCCCAGGCTGGGAGTATCTTCAGTTTGTTCACGCTTCCTTCTGTTTTCCAGGAGACTTTTATAAAATTTCCTTCTCAGATTTTTGTGCATTCCTTGTTAAGTTTAATCTTCTTTGTTGCTTTAAAAGTGGGAGTTCCTTACAGTTGTGTCCTTTAACCATCTATCAATTGTGTGTGTATGTATGTATATATGGCTGCTGATTTCTGTGTATTCTTTAGGTTCATCAGCAAGGGTCCAGGCAGGAGTAGTGGCAGGTGGCCAAGCTGGGCGAATATGACTAAGCAAGAGGGGCATTCTGCGTTCTTACCTTGTCTTTTTGAAACTATTCTCCCTTGCCACTGTATGTATTACAGCTTTCTGTGTTTAAGTAAGTTGTCTCTTCCACATTCCAGTGTTCCAAAGAGGTTTAATGCTTCTAAGAAATATTTTTGATATCACAATGGTGCTACCTTTTACTCATGTTACTGTGTGGCACGTATTACTTATTTATCTCATGGGATCTTCGCAATAAATATTTGTGCAGTAAATGAATGTTCACAATCTCTCTGTGAAGTAGGCATCATCCCAGCTGGAGATGGAGAGACATGAGGTCATTTGTGCAGTGTCCATTCAGTGAAAACTCGGAGTAAAGGATGGAGTTTTAGTTTTACATATTCCCATGAATCCATGATAAGTTTCTTAATTTTTGTCTCCTGCAACAGGCACGGTACAAACAGAGTCTTGATCCAACTGTGGATGAAGTGAAGAAGCTTTGCACATCTTTACGTCGAAATGCCAAGGAGGAGCGGGTCCTCTTCCACTACAATGGCCATGGGGTGCCCAGGCCCACCGTGAATGGCGAGATCTGGGTCTTCAACAAGGTGGGTGCACCATAAAAGATTCCTGTGAACCCAATTCGTTTATCTTTTTGCAAGAATCTGTAAGTTTTGGTGGGTGGCTGCAGATCCTATTCACCTGTAGCTTCTGTGGAGCCATCAAAAGTTAATTCATTTCCACAAAACCAAATGCAGATGCCTTCCGATTTCTGGGTTGGCCACATAGGCTTCCCCTCTTGCAGTGGTGTTTCCTGTTTTTCACTTAGGTTGTGTGTCTTTTTCTTACTTATTTGAAGGAATTCTTTGTATTCTAGACAGAAACCCTTTACCATTTTTGTCAGTTGCAAAGTCCCTGAGTTTATGGCTTGGTTTCTGGGTTTGTCTGTTTGCTTCTGTTCTCTTGTGATGTCCCTTAGTGGACGGGCTTTCTTTATTTTGAAGTGGCTCCTGTTCAGTCTTCCCTTAGGATGTGGGCATTTTGTATCTTCTTGAAGAAGACTTTCCTTATGCCACAGTCACCGAAATATTCCTTGTGTTCTTTCAGAAGTGTATCTTTGTCCATTAATTTGGGTCTTTAATCTACCTGGAACTAATTTTTGCACATACTTTTAAATAGGGTTTCAAATCTTTTTTCTTTTTCAAGTGGGTACCATTACCATTTAATGCCAGCTTTGGACTCAGTCAGGCTTCCTTAGTGAGTAGGTATGTTTCTGAGCTCTCTGTTCTGTTCCGTGGGTCTCCCTTTATGCCAGTTAGCTGTTTTAATCAGTTAGGTTTTCAGTGATTCCTGATATTTGGGAAGGTGAGTTTCCCTGCTTTATTCTTTTTGGTCTGTTGATCTTCCGTGAAAATACTCAATCTTTTTACAAATCAGTAGATTAAATGGTGTGGGGGCGTGGAGACTCAACATCTTTATATTGTTGAGTTTTCCAAACTGTGCTCTTTCATAGTGTGTATCAATGGTATCTTATAATTTCATAAGGGTTTTATCATTTTTTAGATTTATTCCTAGATACTTTTATATTTTTTTGACGTGGTTACACAAAACATTATGTTTTGTGAGTTTTTATCAGGGGGGTGGTGTGTGGCAAGGCAGTTGATCTTTTGTACATTTATTTTATGTCTGCTAATTTGCTAATTAGCCTACCCCTGGTGGCTCAGACGGTAAAGCATCTGCCTGCAATACAGGAGACCCGGGTTTTATCCCCGAGTCAGGAAGATCCTCTGGAGAAGGAAATGGCAACCCACTCCAGTATTCTTGCCTGGAAAATTCCATGGACAGAGGAGACTGGTGGGCTATGGTCCATGAGGTCGCAGAGTCGGACATGACTGAGCGACTTCACTTTCTTTCTTTCTAATTTGCTGTTCTTTCATTGATCCTAATGATTTGTACGTATTTAAAAATTTCTTAACAGACTACCATGTGGTTTGCAAATCACAGCAGTTTACTTTCCTTCCAGTCTAGCTGTTTATTGTTTGTATCTTTCTGTGCTACCAGCACCTCCCAGAGAGTAGAGTGGTGACTGTATGTCCTTGTCTCATTCCTCACTTTGAAAGGAGTGCATCCTCTACATCAGTGTATGATATTCACTATAGATATTTGTAAAAAGAATAAAAAATAAGAAAAGCCCTTATCAGATTGAAAGGTGCCCATCTCAGTGGAAACACAGATGTAAAGAATGGACTTGTGGACACAGTGGGGGAGGGAGTGAGTGGGACCAGTGGAGAAAGTAGCATCAACATTATACATTGCAGTGTGTAAAGTGGCTAGTTGGTGAGAAGTTGCTGTATCACACAGGGTGCCCAGTCTGGCGCTCTGTGATGACCTAGAGAGGTGGGAATGGGGGAAGGGAGGGAGGCTCAAGAGGGAGGGGATATATGTATAATTGTGACCGATTCCCTCATAACTCAGTTGGTAAATTATCTGCCTGCAATACAGGAGACTTGGGTTTGATCCCCTGGAGAAGGATATGGCAACCCACTCCAGTATTCTTGCCTGGAGAATCCCGTGGACAGAGGAGCCTTGCGGCCTACAGTCTATGGGGTCACAAGAGTCGGACATGACTTAGCGACTAAACCACCACAACCACCACCATGTTGTATGGTAGAAATGAACACAGCGTTATAAAAATATTTTTAAAAAGATGTCCTTCTATTCCTAGTTTATTTTTTCAAGTCATCGATAGATGTTTCTTTTCCCTCCAAGCCATTTTGTATGTATGTGTTAGATGATGGTATGATTTTTCTCCTTTAAACTTGAAATTCATTGAAAGATATGATTTTCTAGTATTAAATATGCCTTTCCTCTGTGGGATAACCTAGTGTGTCTTGATCAATTATCTGTTTTATATAGGGGTTAAATATGTTGTTTGTATCATATTGTCTCTATAGTTTTACCTTTCCCAGCATATCATATAGTTAGAACCATATAGAATGTAGTGTTTTAAAACTGGCTTTTTTCAATTAGTATACATTCAAATTTCCTTCATGTCTTTTCATGGCTAGAGAGCTCATTTTCTTTTTACCACTGAAAAAGATTGCACTATTTGGATGTACCACTAGTGAAGGACATCCTGGTTGCTTCCAGTTTTGGGGAATTGTAAATAATGCTGTTCTAAACTTTTGTGTGGATTTTTGTATAGACGTAAGATTTCTTCTCATTTGGGTAAATACCTAAGAGAGCCTCTGCTAGACTAGCTGTTATGTTTAGCATTCCAAGAAATTGGCAAACCCTGTTCCAAAGTGGCTGCCTTGTTTGCGTTCCCACCAGCAATAAATGGTAGTTCCTATTGCTCCACATCCTCCTTGACATTTGTTGTTGCCAGTGTTTTGGATTTTAGCCATTCTAATTAGGTGCATCGTGGTATCTCCCTTTAATTTGCAATTCCTTAATGACATACGATGTTGAGCATCTTTTCATATGCTTGGCTGCCATCTGTATATTTTCTTAGGTGGGGTTTCCATATCTTTTGCCCACTTTTATCAACTCATAAGGCTATTGGTTTTCTCACTCAGTTTTAAGAGTTCCTTTTATATTTGGGTACAAGTCCTTTATCAGATATTCATTTTTAAAAGAGTCCCTCTCATTCTGTGACTTGTGTTTCCATTTTCTGAACAGTGGACATTGACTTTTTGGAGTCCAGACCAGTTATCCTCTAGAACGTCCCTCATTCTCTGTGTTTTATAAGTTTATGTTACACTGAATAAGAAGCAAGATCACACTTTCTGCTGTCAGCAAGGGATGCACTTTATTTCTTTTTTTAATATTTATATTTATTTATTTATTTAGGTTGCACCAGGTCTTATCTGTGGCACATAGGATCTTTGATCTTCATTGGAGATGCAGGTTCTTTTTATTTGCAGCTTGTGAACTCTTGGTTGTAACATGTGGGATCTAGTTCCCTCCCCAGGGATTGAACCCACGCTCCCTACATTGGGAGCTCAGAGTCTTAGCCACTGGACTAACCACCAGGGAAGTCCTGAGAGATGCTTGAATATAAAAAGGTGTATCACAGAAGACTAGCTGAAAGAGAGCCAAAGTGGCTGTATTACTAATAAGAAAATAGACTTTGAGACAAGGAGTTTTGCCAGAGAAGAAGAGAGACATTGCAACAGACAAGTCAGGCCATCAGGAAGATATAACTATCCTGAATGCATAGATAGCTAACAGAGTTTAAGATACATAAAGCAAGATTGTCAGGACCAATTAGAGAAAGAAACATATCCAATATTTGAGTAACAATCTGGCAGTAATTGATAGGTTAAAACCAATATTAAAATTGATAATTAAAAACTTTCTCACAAAGAAAACTTCAGACATGGTGTATTTTTCTAATTTAAAAAAAAATCACTTAAAAGACCATCAATTGCTCTGATTCAGTTAACGGAACCCTACACCCAATGCCCATAGAACACGAGAAAGGCCTGTGCTGCCTTACAAAAATAAATGTCTCAATAAAGTTTGAAGAGCTGAAATCATACAGAGTCTGTTCTTCGACCACAGACTCTGAAATTGTATGCTACCTGGAAAATCCTCAAGTATTTTGAAATTCAGTAATACATGTATCAAAAAAGGTATGACGGGAAAATGAAAATAATTCAGACTAAACAGTAATGAAAAGATGACTTGTCAAAACTTGTGGGATACAGCTACAGCAGTGCTTATATAAAAATGTATAGCCTTATTAAATTCTTATACAGAAAGAAAGACTTAAAAATATAAATGTCTACCTTAAACTGGAAAATGTTGAGCAATTGAAACTCAAAGGAAGTAGAAGGAAGAAATAATAAAGGGCACAAATCAGTAAAACAGAGACCAGGTGGTACAGAAAGTTAACAGAGCTAAAGTTTTGGTTTTGGAAAACGTCTGTAAATTAACAAGTCTACATAGCAAGAAAAAAAGAGAAAAGACAACCTTTAGGAATGAAAGATATCGCCACATATTCTATAGACATTGAAAAGATAAGAAATTAATAATTTTATACCAATACATTGAACAACTTAGATGGAAAATGCCTTTTAAAATACAGCTTTCCAAAAGTGACCCAAAATGAGGTTGAAAATCTGAATAGCTCTAGATCAAAGAAATTGAATTTGTAGTTAAAACCCTTCTTACATGTCAACTCATGGATGAATGAATATTTTTATATAAGAATCATCAGCAAAGTGTTTCCTGATCATTACACATAAAATGTTAAGTCATGGGTGGAAAAAAGGAAGTGTTCTCCGTGATCCATAGGAAAAACTGGTAACACTCAAACTGGAAAGTGAATGTTCTCTGTTTGCCCCAGCATTTGCACTGTCTACACCAGAGTTTCTTAAACTATAGTAGCAGCAATATTCTTGGAGTTTATGATACATGCAGATTATCAAACCCTACTGAAGACTTAGGGAAGCCTATTCCAGGGAGGGACCCAGAGATCCGCATTTTAATGAGCCCTCTAGGCCATCCTAATGCACATTCATTTGAGAACTCTTCCTCCATAAATCTGGTTTTCAAATAGAGAATATATGAGAAATCAGTTAAGATATGGTCTAAAGTTTTA